CATTTGCTTACCAAACATTCACTTAAACTAAAAAAATTAGAATACTTTACCAAGCAATTTTGTCGAAACTGCAAACCACCCTAATGTACATACTTGGAAAAATGGTCATAAAACAGTAAAACGTAACAAAACTTTGAGGTACTTTATTAGAATTTTTTTTATGCATCTCCTTGGATCCCCCTATGGATTGAATATGTAACAGTAGATTATAAGTTGCTGAACGAAATTACGTTGAGTTTAGCTGCTAATAAGACACAGTTCGAAAAAGTAAAGTTCTGACACATGTCATGCAATGTAGCAAATATACAAAAATGAAATGAAATACAAGTCTACGTGAATGAATGTTATCATCACAATTAAAATTCAGAATTTTTATCTGTGCAGCTGCAAGACACACCTCCTAAGAGTACCACCACGGGAGTCCCCATACGGGTTCCTATATCTATTTCTGAACTCCATATAGCAACTTAACCCTTGTTTTGGATGACTAAGTGTACATTTTCTATGGAAAAATGTCTCAATTACATGCTGTGTGAGCAAAGACAAGTAGTATGAGTCGCCTGTTCGTGAGTGACTGTATGTTTTTGTTGGCTTTTTCATTGCTTCGTTCTTTACCGTTTGGTACATACGATCAGGATAGAGAAATGAATTGAATCGAGCAGTGCTTTCACACCCACCCTCAGCAGTCAATATTTTTACGCTCTGCTTGGGACTGTAAATACGTGGTTTCACAAAACTACACAAGAGATTTCAGCGCTGTTGTCTCTGTCATCCTGATCAAGGTGACTACATATAGGTGTTCTAATGTGTCAAATTCATGATTCAGCCATGTTGGATTTTTGTATGGGACAGCGACCGAGTTTGTTTACAATTTGCTCTAAAACCGCACTTTTCCTCCCCACGACCTCCTCGCCTATATAGTGACAAAGATGTATTACCATTTATATACCCACCATGATCCTGATTTTTTCATGCATGCCATATGCAAGCTGACGGATTGCGGGGGTGCATTTTGGAAGGCCAGTTAATCCTAGTTTACCAGCCACTTCAGGCTTTTGCACGCAGTAAGGATTCGTGGCTTCTATTTCTGCAACAAACTTTGTAAACAAGTTTCGGGACATTCGAAACCGCCGCCGAAGCTGAGAATCACTATACGTGGGATTCGTGGAGAAATAATCCTAAAACCGTCGCTCAGCTCCTCCCAGATAATCGTTTTTTTTTTGGCATGCCGAGATCCTCCAGCTCGGTGTACCCTACTTTCCAATTTCGAGACAGAGAAATCAGGAGATAGGATAGCGAGGAATACACATATTCATTGTGAATTCAATCACGCTCATGGGAGCTAAGCTTTGTATTTCACTTTCTTGTATGCAATATCATCTTGTTTTTTAATGTAAATATAAGTAAATATGTGTGTTAAATGAAAAGCCACTCCCAAACTAACGGTCCAATTAAATATTGTAACCCAGTCACACCAACAACACATAACACAGAACACATAACGGGAAGGAGTAAGGATGAAGGTGGGCGTTGGTAACAGGAGAAGGTTATGAACAAGGGGGTGGTGGAAAAGTGTGAGGGAGGTGTGAATGAGCTTAGGTCATGGCGGAAGCTACTGGGTCAAGCTGAACTAAAGGTTCTCTTTCACTTCATCCATTGCGCTAGATAGATCGATCGGTCAAGTTTGCTTTAAGTTGGAAAAGAAGTGAAGTATACAAGTACTGCTTAAATATGGAGCCAGGTAGGACCCAATTAAAACCCAGTAGCGAAATTCCCAGCCCTAAGACCACCTCTCATATTCCAGTCCGAACCCAGTAATTACAGGCTAAACCACGAGGGCGCCCGTTAACAAGCCAGCACCCGTGTAGCAAGCGTCCATCGTTAATACACCGACAACCATTGAGAGACCACCATCGACCACCCGATCGAGCCCCAGCGCCATGCCACACGGTGACAACCGTCGAGCACCGGCATCCACCGGGAACAGACCGTTCATCCGCCGCCGAAAACCCCATCCACTGCAGAATCCTTTAATCGCTGGCCAGCAATCTATACCCCCACACTGCAGACATAACAAGTGAGTGAGACAATAAACTTGTGAAAAGTGATTGATAGGTGTTTTATGTTTCTGATTAGTATCGACAAGCCAGGAGCCGACCTTGAAGCTCTAGGGGTTCGAGCTCGAGCTAGCCAACAAAAGAGGCGAGTGTAGCCCACCCCAGACGATCTTCGTGGCTAGACCAGACGTTTGGGGAATCCCTTTATACTAGCCCATCTGGCTAGCAATTAACATGCTGTACAGCTTCAATGTCTTACTCGTCACTTAAAATTATGGAATCAGCTGCCCTCGGGAAACAACCTGCCGTCAATACATTTGGAATATTGATGATGTAACTACACGGCTACAACATAGATCGACCGATAAAAATGAAATATTACAACATTATGACGATGTTCTTCGTGGTTATATTGTTTTTGGTTTTAGCAACACACGGTAGAACGAAATTGCTCAAGTCGCTAAACTCAAAATAGAAACCAACATGAATCACCGGTTTAAGAATAGGATGCTAAGCTAAAATAGCTACCTAGGTAGATGGAGCCTTATTATAGGGATAGAGATAGCGCCTCCCGTGGCGGTGCTCTTAAAGATAGTGTTAAAACATTATAAAAATGGATGTTAATCCTTTAAACGAAGAGAGCGATTTGCTTCTTTGAGCAAAAAGAGGGTACTACCATAGAGGTATCTCTAAGACCAAAAGGTCCTGAAGAAACGTGCTCAAATTCTGGTATTCTCTTCGGCCCCAAGCTAATCGATGCACCCCTTGAAACAAAGAAAAATCGACAAACCCCTCAAACTTTCATAGCGAATCAAAATAAACATTGTGTAGTACTAGAATTTTGACTAGAATGGGGTACATTAATCGATTTGCTTGGGACCAATAGGCTAGTCAAGTAGTGAGCCAATATAAAATCGTATGTCCACCGGCTGGTGCCACCGTTTGTACTCCATTTTTACCCTACAATTTTGTCCATTTAAGAGATAGAAAATTGTTGTTTCGAACAAAGTTTCTTAAAATAACTTTATCTACAACGTTTCCATAGATGTTCATCAATTTTATTATTTTTTTCCTTGATTTGTTTTCCGTTCATCTTGTTTTCCATGCTGAGCACCAATGCTAGCGACGCCAGGGAGACAACTTCCACACCTGGACCCTACCTATCGAATTATCAACTCATGGGTCGGGGACCAACGGCTTACTTCCCACTGATCAGAGATGTTATACCTCAGAACATCCCGGCGGCGCCAACTGGTATTGAACCCAGGTCTCCTGGGGTTAGAGGCAATCACGCTTACCACTACACCACCAGCGTCGCTATTCATCGATTTTAACAATGCACACAAAATATTGTTTATAACTGAATCAAAGTTTTTCACTACTCAAATAAAGTATTCAAAAAATACATAAACATTTTTGATAACGTCAAAACGTTATTTACACTCAATAGTTTCGTCGCAAATAACCCAATCCTCTGCCAAGAAAGAGGGTTGCTGAAGCCACTACCACCATAGAGGTAACTCTAAGACTAGAAGGTCCCGAAATAACGTGCTCAACTTTTTGACGCAGCTCTGGTACTCTCTTCGGTCCCAAGCTAATCGATTCACCCCTTGAAACATAGAAAAAAACCAATAACCCCTCATTTTATCTGTCAAACTTTCATAGCGAATCAAAACAAACATTGCGTAGTACTAGAATTTCGACTAGAATAGGGTACGTTAATCGTTTGCTTGGGGCCAATAGGCTACTAAAGTGGTGAGCCAATTTAAAATCGTTAGTTTCGTATTGATTGTTGCTACCACTGTAGCCTACAGTTTTTATGCTATGTTTATATGTGCATTGAAGACAAGTGTGCGTTAAAAAATCTTATGCGAATAATCATTACTGAAACAAGAATTTTTCATGATTAGCTTGCCTAATTCATAAATGAATAAAATTAATGTTTAATTCCTACATGTACGCACTTGTTGAACATTTATCACGATTATTTTGCCGCGCAACAAATCAAACATCTATGTGGACGGTGCATAATTTCTCAATGTTTGCATCAGCTGTCTTAGATTGGCAGATAATCGAGCCAAAGAGCCAACAACTTTGACTTCAAGCAAAATGTTCGTGGATGACGTTTCTGCCACCGGAGTGAAATGACCATGTCCCACGTTTTTTTTTATTTCGTCCCATCACAGTGCACTGTGAGCCGTGAAGATGCAGAGGTGTATTTGGTCTCTAGTAACAACGGACATCCAACAAATCATCCTTCCCTCCTCAAACCGCGATTGGCGCTGATTGAAATAGTATGCTTGTACTTTGAAGATGGAAAGCAAATCCCATGCACTATCTATGTAGTTCTCTGTGCAAGTGCATTAGTTCTAATCATTCACGGAAGATCAAATCCAAAATTTACAGTCTTTAAAAGAACTTAGAAAGTTTTTGAGTATTTATAAAGTAACTTAATATATATATATGAAAAAGCCTGTGAACAAAATTCATCAATTTTCGATTTTCTCGCTGAACTGTATCCAAAATTTTAAAACAGGGGATCAAGTGTGTCCACTCTCCCCTACTGCAATACAAGTTTACCATTTTACCAGCACGATTGGTGATTCCATAGCATGTCAAGATAACATTTTATCAAACTGATTCACAAACACACTTTGCCGCTAGCCCCTCCAAATGCATTAACGTTTTTAAGTTTTTAAATTCGAGTCAAACTTGTCAATGAACTGTACTTCTTGTTATCATTCATGACCTAGAACTTTTATCTGCATGTTATGATAGCTTTAGCAAAAATAAGTGATATCATTTTTAGCAACACCGGTGAAATGCATGGTATTGTAAAATCAGAAATGCATGAATTATAATTTAAATCGTCAATCACCAATACCGCAGTCAAGCAGACAGGTGAGAATTCGGCACTCGATCATACAGTCTGAAAGTACGAGCAGAACATGAAGTTGGTGCAATTAACAGAGCTTTTACTTTGCTTGGTAATATCTTGTGTCCAGCAGAATCCACAAGAAGACATTTGCAAAGGCCTCCCGGATGGTCAGTTCGTTGGAGACCCTAGCGATTGTAGTCGTTTCTATATGTGTGATAATGGATTTGGAACGGGTGCAAACTGTCCAGCCGGAATGTTGTTTGACACATTGCAAAATCGGTGCAATTTTGAACATGACGTTGATTGCGGTGTAGCTACCGAGCCTGAAGAAACCACCACCGTTCCAACGACTGCTACTTCTGAAGAGATAGAAACAACCACCAACGCTGCAAGTGATGTTGACGAGTTCTGTAGAAGCACCGATCCCAGCGTTCCCAGCTTCTATCCTAGCAGTACAAACTGTGAAGAATATTATATTTGTGTGAACCAGAAACCATTTCGACTGTCTTGTGCCAGGGGGCAACATTGGAACCAGCAAAAACGATATTGTGATGATCCTGCCGCAGTTGACTGCCTGGTAATATGATGTGATGCATTTTATGCAGTTGCAAAATTGACATGCATCTATGCTTTTTTTTATTATTATTTCCAGGTGGATGTGCCACCTGTTGAATTCGAAAAGTGTCCAACCAAGGGACATGCATTTTTTCCACATCCAGAGATCTGTGAATTTTTCTTGTTCTGCGATTCCGGAGAACTCTCCGTACAGATGTGTCCGTTCTACTATCAATGGGACAGCAGTCATGAAACTTGTGTTCTGAAGCACATATCCGATTGCACCAAAAGCAGCGTCAGTGATGTCAAGTGGAATTAACTTCTGAGTAGACCGAGTGTGAATTGCTTGAAAATAGGTCTACTGTAGAATCTCGGCAGCATTTCACGACTTAAATACAATCAATTGGTTATTTAAGCTCTATACAAACGTTGTTATTGGTTTTCACAACTCAAAAATCGCTTTTGAATATTCAAGTTCAATATTTTCGACCATATTCCATTCAAACGGATTTGAACCGACGCGATACATATTTTTTGAAATTTTTTACAGCACAAACAGATAACTATTTTGTGTAGAGTTTAAAAGTTAATATTTATTTATATTTGTTGCGCTCTAGACACTTAAATAAAATATAAAATTTCAAATCAAATAACTTTACTTAAGTTTTGTTTGTTATATTGTTTCAAGTTGAATTGTGTTTCTCCCAAACAAATGCGTACTTCTTAATATAAGGTACACCGGGACAAGTTAGAATACGGGGTAAGTGAGAACGGAGGATATAACTAATTTATCAAAAATGTAGAGGGTCCAACCCACCTCAAGATTAAAGATATAGTGCAATCGCTTACATTGACAACAAAAAAAAAGTTATATTTAATCCTATCATCCGAATGCAATTGTTGCGTACGCCCTTCGTGCGACGCCACACCTACTCATTCAGGTCATCGATGCAGCGGCGCTGTATCGATGCTTTGCGCAACGGAGTGAAGTTAGCGGTGGCAATCTACAAGCAGGTCTACTGTCACTTCACCTGTCAGAAGAAAATCGGCAAATCATCGTGTGATTACCTAGTGATCTATCTACTTTCAAACTAGCTTAACATTATTGAATTCTTATTATCTATCGCTTAAAAGTAAGGTGGGGGAATATATACAAACATGAAAACTAAAACTTATACGAAAAATTTGTGTAGGTTGTAGGTCAAGTAGTGTGGTAAAGCTACGTGCACCAGAAGTGCGTCGGAATATATGAGCTATAAAGTAGCTGAGGTAAATTTTAGTTAGATTCTTATGCCTATGCTATCTCCGAGGTTTTTTCTCACAAAGTGTAAACAATACACATTAAACTACGCCTACGCAAATTTTCAATTAATTTTACCCAACGGATCAAAACTTAGAGCAAATTGAGGGTGTGCGAATTTTAAACGGTACACCCTCTATTTTATTTGAATGGCTTTTAACAGTTTTTGACGTTTGTTGATATGTTTAGTGCGAAAATAGACATGTAGAAACTATTGAACAGTTATTTAAGTTTGCACTATAGGAAACATGTACATCTCATTGGAATTGCTTTCGACAAATTGTAAACAGATCTATCCCGAGCATTGGATAGTCACACACTTAAAAAAAATCATGTGAATTTAGGTGCTCTGAGACTGACATATACGAGCGTCAATTTTGACATAAAATTGTGCTCAATCAAACGTACTTTTCGTCGAGTACCGAACTTTTCAGTCTCGGAGCACTTAATTTTACATGACATGTTTGTTTACGTCTCATCCTTTATGTCAAAGATGGATTCCGTCACGTGTAAAATTAGGTATTTTTAAGTGTGCATATAGATTTGCCTTCTAAAATAGTAGAGCTACGTTAGTGCAATGTGTTCCTAACGTACCTCCACTATTGGTGCGTTTACCCTGAATGATTTACTGCAATTCGATCTCGTATAAGTGCCGACCAAATGGTTTATTAGGGTAGATGTACCGGTTATGACTATAAGTTCCTTCTCTATATTGGTGTGTCTCGTTTATGATCTGTGGAATTCCCATATAACATATTTGGAACACACCATAATAGGAACGTAAATTTGTCAATTCATCTTTGATCTGATCCAGGGATTCACCACTGGTCAGAAAAAATACTTGAGAAGACGTTTGAATCCGTCCAAGGTTTCAGTCAATACACGGCATTCTCCCCGACGGCCAATTTGAAGTGGAAACTTGAATCTAACGAAGTTCAAAAATTCCATGCGATGAGCATGAAAATCTGAAGGTGGACCTTTTCTGTCTTGGCATTAAGCCGAGAATGTTTAGTGGAATTTTGTCTGGATGATGGATCATTATCATCATCCGTGAGCATATCAAATTGATTGCTCAAATTAATTTCATCAGAAGGGGAATAAAGTGATTGCCCTTTTTTGCGTTCAGACGGCATGGTGGCAGATCAAAGTTTCTCCAATTCGATTTTGAAGCACATTACTATAAGAATCTGAAGGATCAAAAAGGAATTTTCCAAATCGATATCCAAGCAGGATTACCTCGGGTTGGGTCCCAACAAGGATTGAAGACGAATAAAAATCGAACAAGGCAGAACATTTTCAGGTAATATTTTGCACTGAGAAGTGCTGTTTAAATATATTGTAGCGTTAGGTAGCAGTAACACCAACCGGTGGAAACTATCGATTTTAAATTGGCTCACTACTTGACTAACCTATTGGTTCCAAGCAAATAAAATAACGTACCCCATTATAGTCGAAATTCTAGTACTACACTACGTTTGTTTTGATTTGCTATGAAAGTTTGACAGGACATAGGCCTAATAGAAAGATAAGTAGAAACAAGTATATCCTGAAGAATGGCCGCGTGAAATACATTTGTGAGAATATCTTGTTGATACGATGATTAAGACTTGTAAAATTCTTTAAAACCTCCATGGAACTTGCAATGTTACTTAAGTGTAGTCACGTTTTGTTTGTAGTCAATATTTTATTTATTTTTTTCAGGAGTCGAGTTTCGATCGCCTTTGGATACGGTTGTGTCTTAAGTCTCTTCTCTGTTTTGTGCGTCCATTAGCTGTCATAGTTTTCGGCTGCATTTGCTGGATTAGCGCTGGCACTGTGCCTCCCGGACGGTTATACGTGTGTGAGTGGTGGTTTTCTCGCATTCCGAGAAGTTTTAGAATCGAGAAAGAAAACATGATTCATCATGTTTGCAAGCAACAGAAGATTTGACGCTATCTGTGTTGTTTGATTTTTTCTCCCGGTCCAGAAATTTGCGGCATCGCGAGCGATAATTTTAATTTTAGGGTATTTACGCGGTGATAATGTTGGTTCACTCGTAACTATTTTTGAAAAAAAAAAGTGTTTTCAAACGAAAGTGTACCAAAAGTGCTTCTGAACGTGTTTCGTAGTTGGGTGTTGTGGAATTCGTGCATTCCCGGTTGATTTTGGAAATCCGTATCACAAAATTGCCCACCGATTCCTTTTTTTTGCCGTTCGACGACGACGGGTGTGCTTTCGCGAGAGTGACGTTTATTTGATCCGTTTCTTTGCACGGGTGTGCCTATTTTTTTTTTGTAACTAGCATAAGTGTGCCTGCGATTTGCATTGAGTGTCGGAGATTGTAAGTAATCTGAAGAATGCCTCGCTGGATACGCCCAAGACTGAACGGGCAGTAGCTAGTGGCCGTGAACGGTTCCTGGGGAAAACACTAGATGCGACCCTCCTCCCAGATGACCATGGCAATACAGGAAGTATTGGTATTGGAAGGTAATTGCTATTAGATATTTTGCAAACAGTGACAGATAGCGGACATGAAGAACCAGTGGAGGTGCCGGGCAAGGGTGTTTATCCTAGACAAGTGGTGGGTTCAGAGATGCCAGATTTTTTTCTATGCAATTCCGTAGACTTATTCAAATCTACGGATTTCTACGGTTTTTTTTTTAGTCGAAGGTTATATTTTTAGTTCTAAGGTGTTATTTTACGTTAAATGATAAATCGAAGAAAGAACATTTGAAAAACTACTAGAAACAGCCCTCTGGGGTTGTACGCAATGGTGACGTCGGACTACGTGGGTTTATATAATAAATGTTATTTGTTAACTGCAGCAGGAGCTTGTGTTTTGTGTAGGAATAGGAATTTGAGTGGGGTTCTCTCTTTTTGTACTCTTTAGTATGACTATAATTGCCCTGAAAAGAAGCTTTTGATATAAATTTTAGTTGGGACAGGTTCAGAAATTTAACTCTTTTGGAAAATCTTGAATCAGATTATACTCTAGATTGTAAAATTCGATTCTGAAGGGAGACATACACTGAAGAAAAACAATCTGTAGAAACTGTACCGAATTCCGTAGATTTTGCCTACGGATCCGTATTTCCGCAAAAAATTGTGAAATCCGTAGATCTACGGAGATTTCCGTAGATCTGGCATCGCTGGGTGGGTTGCAGATTCGCTGTTGTCGTTATCGTAGGCGCCGTCGTTGTCGCTGTAGTAATCGCCGTCGTAGTCGTAGGCAGTACCGTTGGTATATTTAGGATTGGCCACCGGCCGCTGAAAGTATGAATTATCGCGTATTTCTGCTGTTTATTACATGCCAACTAAAATTCGAGAACGTAATTTCATTTGAATAGCTTGTTCAACCAGGTATTAAACAATCGTCACGTCGGTCATAGCTTGTTATGATTACCTGAACCATGCGTAAAGCGAAAATCGAAACATTTAACGTCGCGTGAAAATGGATCTTAATGTAGGCCTCTTTCATAGCTTTTAGTTTAAGGATTTCAAAAATCGTCAGTTGCAGTGGCTTGCTTACTGAGCAGAAAAACGTGGTCCCAGATCCTTTCATATTAAAAATGTATGGTTAGATCGCTTGTTTATCGTGTATTTCGTAAAACTTTTCGTTGTCGTCGGTGCCGGGTCTGAATAGTCATAAAAACTTGAGTAACGCTATAATGTGATATGAGGGGCTCGGTGGCCTTAGAGCAACCGGTTTTGCTTACTGAGCAGAACATCATGAGTCTAATCTCAAGCCTATCCACATTCAAGATTCGTCAATCGTTTTATTTTTTAACATTACTACATGGTAATAACAGCAACTCGATGATAAAAAAGGAGCTCGTCTGCCTAGTGGCAAACGTTTTTGCTTACTGAGCAGAAGACCGTGGGTTCAATCCCAAGCTCCTTCGCGTTATATGATTGTTAGGACATCAATTCAGCTTATCGTTTACCAAAACGAACCCTGCTGCAAACCCAACCCTCTTACCCAATATCCCAGTGATTCCTCGTGGAAGTGCAGAGGTGTTCTCGGCTTCCATCAAAGCGAGTGTCACGTCAACACATTCCTACCCCTTCCTTTCTTGACCTGTGTTCGGGCGCGGCCGGTGCTGGTATTGCCTAGTTTGAGATCACCAGTTTTTACACATTCAGGATGATTGCTACTCCCAAGCATCGTCTATTGGTTCTCTGTGTAATTACAACTGGTCTGGCAATAACAGAGTAGCAACCGTGGGCGGTCAATCATGCTCATGCTCATGTTCATTGATTTGCGGCAACTGCCAAAATTGAAATCTAATTGAATTTAAATGCTAGGATTGCCCACCAGTTTCACAATTGAATTAATCCTGGATCAGTAGACACGCAAATGTGGCGAATTATAAATTCCTACCCTAATAACTGTGGGAGTGCTTTAAAAAACACTAAGTTGAGAGTAGGCGCAATTTCGTGTAAGTAAGAGCGTCAAAGCCAGGACAATGAAGAATAACACTGATGCTAACCCCTGAAGTGACACATACCGAGTAACGTTGGCGAAAATCAGATATCCAACGTCCTGACCCCCAAGGGGGGGAGGTGGCTGTCAAATACGAACAATCGTCGTCTACCTCGCATAACTGGTTCCAAACGTAAACAAGCCATAAGAAACCTACAGCGTTTGTTTACGTTTGGAACCAGTTTCATACAAGAATGATCAGTAGGCTGATTTGACAGTACGTCCCCCCCAGTGACTCCTGGCACCTACACCGATGAGGAATAAATCTCGATTACTTTTTCGAAGGGACGTATCAGCTTTTGTAAACAATGCTTTTGATCGTCGGTTTGGCGTAACTGGTAGCTCACCCATGCATGCTAACACTGCCATCAGATAGAAGAAATTTTCCCCTATGGTGTTAGTATGCGTGGGGAAGCTACCAGTTACGCCAAACCGACGATCAAATGCATTGTTTACCAAAGCTGATACGTACCTTCGAAAAAGTAATCGAGAAATGTCTCTAATGAGCCACTCGTGGCAGTGCCAAACCGATTGAAAGTAAACAAAGGGTATATTCAGAGTAATACTGTAGTAATGCCTAAATGAACACATCAAAGACAGATAAAAGATACAGAAATTAGTATTGCTGCCGAATTCAGTAAAGCTTCCAGTGCCGTCAACCGAAGTTTCCACTGAATATAAATTTCTTCTAATCCATCACTGCAACAATTGGGAATAAATGTGGACATGTTGGAACAAGCTTATGATTATATGATTGATTGGAAGCGCAAGACAGTTGGAAATGTATATTTGTTTGTCTCAGTCTGTTGTCAAGTTGGTAGCAATTGATTTCCACCAGGAATGGGTGTGAGTGGTGTGATATCAAATTATTAAAGAAGATAATTAAAACATGATTGAGACATTTGTAAAGTCTGGGGTAAATTCAAGAACATATTGATAGTCTGCATATGCATTGAATCCATCTTTGTCTCAAGAAAGAATCATTCTCCTCTATTTATATGTCGCTGGCTTGAATTCTGTTACAGTCAATTTTTTTGGTTCAAGGTAATCATAACATAAAAATGATAAATCGTAAGTGAGAGCTCATTGCTTGTAGAATTTAGTTTAATGTTATTTACACTTGCAGGTATTCTGTTTTTATAACTAGTTGGAGTTGTCTCTGAAGGATTCTCACTTCCAGTGCCAGCCAATGATTTTTGGTCCGTGATTGCAGCATCAGTTGAAAATCCTTGCGCTGGAATCACTGATCTAGTTTATGTTCCGAATCCAGCTAACTGTAATCAATACTTCGTTTGTGCAGTGGGCCAAGGGTTCATGAAATCTTGCGCTTCTGGGTTGAAATTTGACATTTTTGTCAGTCAATGCAAACAATCGGAACATGCTACATGTATTCAGGATATTCCTGTTGATTCACCAGCACTCGAAGGCGATGAAGATGGTGATAATCCATGTCTAGGAGATGTAGGCATCAGTTTGCTAGCTGATTTGAACGATGCTAGTGGATTTTACATATGTGTACAAGAAAGACCGTTGCAGTTTACCTGTGGATTTGAATTAATATTTGATTTAAATGCAAGAAATTGCACATCAAATATGATTCCTACCACTACAGAACAAATTACGGAATCTTTTCCCGAAGAAAGCATCACTAGCGAAGACACACCAGACATTTTTGAAACAGAAAGTTCTAGTGATGCTTCAACTGAACCAGAGACGGTGCTTCCCTCGGAAATGACTTCAACTAGTATAGATTTTTCAACATCAACATCGGACACTACTGAAATTACTACAGAAGACATCACTTCAACACATCCATCTACATTCTCTACAGAAACAAGCATTGCTGAAATCGTATCAACAACAACAACAACAACAACAGGTACAACTACAACTGACACAACCACTACTACATCAACGCAAAGTATTACAAGTTTTACTATGTCCACCCCAATGCTAACGACAACGAAGGCAACCACAACTTCCACTACTTCTGTTTCAGTGCCACCAAGCACAACTTTATCAGCACCCAATGAACCAAACTGCCCTATCAACCAAGACATATTTTTGCCACATCAAAACTGTTCTAAATTCTACCGTTGCTACTATGGCAATCTGTTCGAGCAATCCTGCCCGGTAAATCAATACTGGAACCAAGATCGGGGATATTGTGATCATGTATGGAATTGGACTTGCAAATAATAAGAATTTCATGCATAGCGAATCATATCACAGTTACTTGCTAGGTTATATTAATGCAGTGTATTCAAATAAAAACTTGCATCTCATGATATTATTGCATCACATTATCCTCTGAAACTACTTTCTACAGCTGGCAATTGAACCGTAGTTGCACGAACCGGCCTCATTATCCCAAAATAGTCCTTCATCACAGCGTTTCAACATAGCCTTGCCCTTGTAGCAAAGGTAATAATGACGGCAGCTCCTCGGATGTTCAACCCAGTGGGGGGTCTCATCCATGCAAGAAACTGTTTTCGGAGTCAGCAGAGGCTCGTATACTTCTCTGTATGGAGTGAAATTGGAACAATGCGATTTTTCAACTGGTGTACACCAATTGTTGGTTGGATCCCAATGCAGTCCCTGAGCGCAGCTGTTTTCATGAGGCTCTCCATTGTAGCAATAGTAGTACCTGAAAACAATAGCAGCTAAATGTAAAATACATTGAATAAATGATATGTAAGCAAACTGTACTTGGCACAATCAAATTTATCTGCAATAAAGATCATCCTGTAGGGATCGTTCCACATTGGGCATATTCTATCCTGAAGACCACATTTGGCGTAGATTGGATAAGTGCACTGACTGGAGTGTGCATCAAAATGCAATCCTGGAGCACAATCTTGCACGACCGGAACGCCGTCAAAGCACATGACGTATTTGGAGCAACTTTCCTTATGAGGAACACTCGAAACTCCATTCTTTGGGCATTTGCCCTCATCCAGCGGTAAATCGTTGGAACTCTCGACATCTATTGGTACCCTTGTTGTGATGATGACTGGGGCAGTTGTCCAAACAGGTTTTTCAGGTACCGGGGCCGAAATGAACGGTCCAATATCACAAGATACCGATTCTGGTATTTGACAAATACGATTAACTTGATCCCAATTCAACGGCGCTGGACATTTATGCTGTTCAAATTTTCCACTCTGGCAAGAGTAATACTTGGAGCAATCATTCCTATCCCTGAAGGTGCTTCCATTTCGAATCCCAACGCACTCAGTGTCAACTGCAGCGTGGATACTTGCCACCAGGGCAATCGTGTAAACCACGAGGAGTTTCATTATTATTTTAGCCAAATGTTGCCAACTATTTGCCCGTGGACAGTTACCAAATATCACTGATTCATTCCAGACGGTAACATATGTTTATATCCTTGATGCAGACGGAATGACAGTCGCACAATGATGACACGTTTGCCGATAGGGTCGCGTATCGTTGAAAAATTAATGGAACAAAGTAGTCACCCTCATTTATCGACGGTCTCGTTGAAGTTAAGAGAGTGCTCCTAATCATCCAACATTGTGAAATGGGTGAGCTCATCGTGTGCAGCACGGCTAATTGAATATATGTGTCGTTTACAGTGCTGAAAAATCTCGGCCGTACAAGACGATATTGGCATAACAACTTTCGTCTTTATCACGAAATGAATATGATCTTCAAAGGATGCAATGTTCTTTGTCTGTGACGAACATGTGCATGTTTTGTTTTCAACTAAGTTTCTAACCAAATTAGATGAGTTAAGAAAAATAAGTCCATAGATCCGTCAAAACTTGAATCTACGTCCTCTACAATGTAAAAAAATAATTTTATCGATATCGAATGAAGTCATTCAATGACAATGACAAAACTCAGCACTTGACTCGTTTATTCTGCAAACATTGTTATGGCAGTAAATTATCGAAAATATCGCGGTCATCACTAAGTAGAACGATTTGTTGCCATAGTTTATTACCATATTTTTGATTGATAATTTTTTTTTCCAAGATTTGTTTTCCGTCTATCTTGTTTTCCGTGCTACCGTTACCGACGCCAGAAAGGCAGCTCCCACACCTGAACCCTACATATCGACCCATCAACTCATAAACCGGGGGGACCAACGGCTTTACTTCCCTTCCGAAGGCAGGCGTGATCAGAAATGTTATACCTCAGAACATCCAGGCGACACCGACTGGGATTGAACCCAGGCCTGCTGGGGTGAGAGATAATCACGCTTACTACTACATCACCGGCGCCTTTATTTTTTTTGTTTATGATGAAATTCAACAGTTTTGTTCTACCATTCAAACAGAATGATCTAAACCGGCATGGGAGGGCAGTGTTGCAAAATCTCGAAAATATACGGTGATATTCAAAAATCTGCTTTGGTCACTCCTTTGAGCTGACAGTCAATTGACAGTGAAGAACTTGTGCAGATTTTTAATTAGTTAATTTTGAATCAAATTTTCATGACTTGAGCAAAACAATTACATGGAGCCGTTAAAGTGAACAAGCTTGGATAACTATAATGTGACTCAGAATGCACGAAATTACACTTTTCGTTTCAGCTTGAATCTTTGTCATTGACGGAAAAATGAATGAGATTTTGACAAAGGTTTTTTTGAGGATCAGGTCTATCAGTGACTATATGAAAACAATTTTGTTAATATCGCGCGATAGTCTGTCAATGACAATAGCAAATATCAGTACTGTGCGAGGCATAAAACGCCACGATAAAATAGCTGACATCACATTGATTGACAAAACGTCAAATATTTGTAAAATTTTGACAAATATATTTGACCAAGGTGTCATGGCCAAATATACTTGACCAAACGGCCAAAACGTCGGGAAATGCCTAAAGAAATGCAAAATTAACTGTTTGGATTACCCTAGACTGAGAAAGCCATATAAAATAAATCAAAAATTTGCGTAAACATAGTGTGATGGTCTTTTTCAATTTTTTGCTGAACATGTTTGCTGAAAAAATAATTAATGCGATACACTTCTCAAGTAACAATTGAACAGCCTTTTGGCTTTAACACTGATTTATTGTGGTTTTATGACGGCAAACGCAATCGTTTTGGTTTAAATACAGCATTATATACAATTTTATCATTTACCATCACACGCAAGGAGTATCGCTTCAACCCCGATGAATTTAGTTTGTTTTGAATATCTTCGCTGTTACGTACGAGCGGAATGAACAAATGAGTTCATTATACATCAACGAGTACACGTTGGTTGATATTCTCCAGTGCTTGATTATCCAACCCGAAATTGTCAAAATCAGAAATGATCCTCAAAAACAAAATAATCAAATTAATTTTGGGAAAAATGATTATTTTGAATATTGTCGACTCCAGAGCCTAAAACCGGGATTTTATCATCAGTTCAGTTTGAGGCAATAATTTGCCATCGGTTTGTGTGTAAAAACTAATACGACACGTCTTTCAGCGCTATATATGAGTAAAATGAAAATAATCATTTTGCATTTGATCCTCAAAATCATTACCACCAAGATGAAGACGAATTTTAATATTGACAACAACAAAGGCGACAATGAACATCCAGCCACGAATGAAGAAAAACAAATGTTGACTACGATACTCAGAGGTTGCCTTGATCAAGACAATGTTGTTATGTCAAAATTCAGATTCATGCAGGTAGTTGGTGTATCTGTTAAGGTTGTTTTCGTTTTCAGCTACACACCAAAAAATTCTGAATTTTACTGGCAATGTAAACATCCATGCGTGCAAACATTCATACATGTAAACTTTATTTTCACGTAAACTAGCAGCTTGCAAGAAATGTTGCAAACAAAAGTGGACAGTTGCATACAATATATGGAATATTGCATGGTATATCTCATAAATTTACACGATCTATAATCTAAAATTGTATGATATATGACGCTCCATTTATGTGCATCAAAGTAACGGAAATTTACACTATTTTTTTAGCTGTGTATGTTGAGTGTAGAAGGAATGATTTTTATCAGCACTGTTCAATAGTGCAACATATTCTTGTTTAGCAGTTCAGAATTTTGATGTTTTGAAAACCTTTTAAAGTATGACGATAAAATCAAAACGGGGCTGGGTTTAAAAATGAATTTAATGCAGCACTCTATTTCTTTATAAAACTATGAAGTTAGTCAAAATGCTCCATAAGGGTGTTTTATCATTATAAAAGCAATTATAAAACCGTTCGGTTTAAAACGGGAACAAAAAGCATACGCTTTTTGGTGTCAAAAGTGTATCACAAAACCCCTCAATGTTTACAAATTAAACTAAAAATATGGATCCACCTAGGGACAGCGAAAAAAATGAATAGAGTGGGGCTTTTAAATGCTGAATCACAAGTAAATTCCGATGGATAGTTGAGAAAAAATACTAGCGATAGTAGGAAGAATAACTCTAGCAATACTGATGACGGAAGGGAAAAATAATCCAATTGCAGAACTTCCTGGGATGCCAGCAGCTCCGTCAAAACCGGCTTATCAAGCGTCAATGGAAAATGGCACGAGTATTGATGCCAAATGGCTTTTATTGTAGTTTCAAAAAGGTTTCAAATAGTTCTCATTGGTTTCGTCGTATAACTTTTTTGCAGCAAATTAATCTTGAAGTGCCTCGAAAATATGCCCTTCCAAACCTACTCCAGGGTGGGCCAACTAGACAAATTCTAGTCTTAATGAGGTTTTGGGGGATGTAATAAAGGTAAAGCTGTCTTGGGTTTTATGAATGTTGTTTGATAGTAGCCTTGTAGTACTGCATAAAACGTAAAATGTACTAATGTAATGTTCTTGGGTTGAAATTCTTGAGAAGCAAACAACATCAAATAATCGTAGCTTGCTGTGACCACAGGAATAGACGATTTCTGTGATGTGACCAGCAAATCCAAACACATACATCAACCAACGGTAAATACAAAACGCTTGCTACTACTAGCACGGTACCTAAGTAACCAAAAGTTCCGCATTCAACACTTCCAAGTTCCATAAAGTTCAAATAAAGTTCCGACAGAACTTTCAAGTTCCATAAAGTTCAAATAAAGTTCAAATAAAGTTCCGACAGAACTTTCAAGTTCCATAAAGTTCAAATAAAGTTTCGACAGAACTTTCAAGTTCCATAAAGTTCAAATAAAGTTCCGACAGAACTTTCAAGCCACATGAAGCAATCCGCACAAATTTTTTTTTGTGTAACAAAATTTAATGTACGTAAATAAATCATAATTCTTATATTTATGCAACATTCTATCCAAAAATAAAAAATAAATTAAAAAGTCATTACCTGGATTCGAACCCATGTACTCGGCATGTGATCTACGATTGCTAACCACGGTGCCACAAGTGTGTTGGAATACCATGCGGGCAAACACCAATTTAAATTCATCAAAGTGTTGTGTTTTATATTCAAGTCAGTCAGCTGGCTCAGAAAACTCCAACAATAGGCGGGACAACAGCTCACTTTAATATATTTCAGATGACGTAGTGGTTCGTGCTGAGACTCTCACGCAGAAGGACTGGGTTTAATTCTTCCAACAGCTCTATTACTACTACTAATGCTGATAAATCAATACACATTAATACCTGCCTTTAGAAATAACTTTAATAAACGTGCGAACTAAATATAGAATTGGTGTAGAGGACAAAAACCTTTTTTAATTTATTTGCTAAAAGTTCCGTTCAAGTTCCGCCAGAGGCTGATTAGAATGCTTTTCCATTATGGCACCGGAACTTTCAAGTTCTTATAACGACTTAAAAATGAGGCTGCTTAGAATTCTATAGACCACCTTCAACCAAGGTGTTTAAGCCATAAATAGCCTTTTATCAAAATTTTTTTTTTACTTGGGTAAAGTCTCTCTGTAATATAGCTTGATAGAAGTTACAGAAGGATAATGATATTTTGCTTGCCTCCCAAGGAACAATTTTGGTTTCATGAGGGTTCTACAGATCATTATTTAGACTTGTAGGATGCTATACAACCTCCATTAAGCTTGCAATGTTACTAGGGCTGCTTTGTTGCAATATACGCGGTTGATCGGAATCGAGAAAAGACAACAAAAAAATCCCATTATGTGTCATATTCGGCGTTACTTCATGAAGCAGCTTTCCAACAATTTGGTCGTGTCCTTCTACCGACTCAAGTGAGTTATACTCTCCCCCCGAAGAGCGCGAGTAATACGTGCTGGGATTTGACCTAATAGTGTTAGAATTCTTTTGTATGGGGACTACTTTTGTCCCTCTCCAGGCTTTGTCTGGAGATTCAGGGTCGTTTGAAGGGCTCCAGGAAGAAATTGGTGGAAATACTCCCCTTTTTAAAAAATGCAAGGTGGATCCAACAAAAGAGATGGAGGAAATAGGGAATAGCGTGGTTAAATAATT